GCTGCCGGCCCCGCAGCCACAGGCCGCCCCTCCGCCGGCGGCGCAGCCCCAGGTGCAGGCCGAGCAGCAGCAGCAGATGTACAGCTACTGAGGCGCCGGGCGGAGGACTTGCAAGAGACCTCAGATGGGCTTCCTTGTGTGTTGTTGAGATTGGTTTGCTGGATACCAAACAGAAAAAAGAATCATCCGTTGCGATGTAAGTAAGGTTGATTAGCTTTTGCAGGCTTGTCTCCAAATCCCCCAGCAACCATCATGGTCTCCCAGTTTGGCTACAGCAGGTGGCCGTAGACCCAGGCAGGTTGCAGGCACTGCCTTAGCCGGACTGCTGGTTGGGCTGTGGCCACGCCTCCAGCCTTCCCCGGCAAAAGTGGGTCTGGTGGACGCTGCTCCAGAAAGCCACACTTCAAGAGAAGCAGGACCCCAGGAGGCAAGTTATTGGGAGCGTAAGGGGTTTGTCTTATTTTTCCTCTGGAACTCAGTTACTGTATCAAAACGTGGACAGTTCCACGTGTGGCAACAGGCTGCAGTGACATGCAGCTTTCTCCTTGCTCCTGGATATTTTTTGCAAGTGAGCAAGTAGAAGTTCAAGTAACACTGAGTCTCCACTTTGAAATCTGAGTTGAGCCGAATTTGTTTCACAACTTTGGGCTGAAACCATGTATGAGAAGATGGCTGTGAGAGCACAGAGCCCCTCTGGCTTCAGGTTCATCCCAGGCCAGGGGTCATGAGGTCGCTGACGCAGGCATAAAGGCCTCTTCGTAATTTAATTGATTTTTAGGATCATTTTTTCTTTTTTCACTTTATTTCAAGCATATATTATGTATTCAAAACTCAGTTGTGGCCATGTTTTTTTGTTTTTTATTTTAACATGCAAAAGTCATTTGCACTGTAGGACGGTTGGTCCATGTCCAGTCTACACAGCTGCCCCGATGCAAAGAGGCACACAGCTGTGGGCAACAAGAAAGCCTCGTGCTCCCGTGCTGGTGGCACCTTTGGGAATGACTTCCCTGCCACCACATGTATTTATCATGACGGTGGCTCAGCCAAAACCCCCCGAACTGAAGAACAGGGAAGAAATTCATGTGTTTTCTTCTGTTTAAACTTTAATTCCAAAGGTTGATGTGGTTCAAGATCAGTTTTCTATACAAACGTGGAGTAGGCTTGGAAAGCATAGGTTGTGATACCGCTGTTTCCTGCCAGGCAGTAAGGAAAGCGGAGGTTAGTTCCGCCCTGGAGCCACGAACGCGCCCATGAGCGTGCTGAGGAGCGACCGGATCTGCTTCCCGGGACACGCCCTTCGTCCGTGCGCCCGTCCCAGGTGGCGGGCGAGGCTGAGGCCCACCAGCAGCCCGCCCTCCTGCCTCCGCCAGAGAAACAGAACCAAGTTTGATTTTTACTCTCCTAATGTTTTTAACGCTGTCCAAAATGAAATGATAAATTTGCCTTATCTGTCCTTGCTCACTCTGCCCCAGACCCTGTATGATTTGGGAGATCCTCTTGAAGGAAGACTGAATAGGAGTCGGCAGGCGCTAGGTGATATTGCCGGTGAGGCAGAGGACGATGTGCTACGCAAAATGAATTTTCTCAGCACTTCGCTTTGTTCCGCGTGGCGAGATTCCGAGGCCAGGGCTGGAGTTTGTTTTGTGCAATACACGCCTTCACGACCTGGGGAGACTCCTCCCCCAGAGGCCGTGGAAGGGCCCGTAGAGTCCCCCTCCTCCACACAGCTCATGCATACACTCCCAGCTCTCGCCTCGGATGGTTGAAGTAATTGTGGGAGATTGTTTGACTTTTTAATTTATGATAGTTATTTTTATGTTATTTATGTATATAATTACCTGCGTTTTACATAATAGTTTCATCAAAGGAATTTGGGTGAGGGGTGATAGATTTTCTAAAATATTGTCTCCATTCTCCAAATGTAAGGGGTCCAGGTGCCCACGGAATTGCCCAGAATGCCAGGGTTCCTAAGTATCACCAACACACTGACAATTTCTTTTTGCATTTGCAGAATATAAAGGGCAAATGACCAAGTAAAGAAAACAAAACAGACATGATCAAACGTCTGCTAGCGTTTCCCTTTTACTCCTCTTCCTTGTGAAGCAAAGGCCTTTTAAATCACAGTTTTATTTTTTTAAAGAAGTTGTGTCTGTGCCTAGAGTAAGAATGCACCAGATGTTCTTGAAGAGCCTAACGTAGGTTGTGTGGCCTGGTGTCCTACCACTGTTCATTTAAATAACGGACGAATAATAATACTTCTTATTATAATAAGTGAGAACTCCACATAAAAGTGAGGTGGAGTCCTGAGTTTCCCGTGGATGGATTTGGTCTTCATAGGGCTGCTGTCTGTGGCAGAATGGGTTCAGGTGTCTTAAGACAGTTGCTCTCTGAGTGCATGTGGAAGAAGCTGGGGAGCTAGAACCCCAAGTTCTGCGCAGCCCCCAGTCATTGACTGTAGATTGTTCTGCACCTGTATCGCTGTTCACTGGCAGGAATGTTTCATTTTTTAACTGATCCCAGTTGCATGGCTGTAGCCATCAAAGAAAACTGGCTCCAGCCTTTGTGGCCACCAGGCTCTGTGAATCCATCTCGGTTGTTCTAAATTAATAAATCATGAGAATTTATTTGGGAGCCTCTGGATTTGTAATGTGTCATTCTGGGCCACAAGGTGGCGCGAACCTTGGGGAGTTGGACCCCAATTCTGCCTCCTGAGTTCTGAGCCCGGCGGCAGGAAGGGACTGAGCCTCTGGATCGGCCGTCCCCGGGACCTGTTCTCTGCAGGCACCACCTCTGTCCCACAGGAAACCGCTTTGGAGAATCCGGGCGTGGGAGGCAGTGTCACGGACTGCACACATGTTTCCCGAGCTACACGTGTGTTTCCCCAGCTACACACGTGTTTTCCAAGCTACTGTGTCCAAAGGTGTAAGGCTCCTGCTTCCTACCTGGAGGTGCTGTCGGGACGTTGCCATAGGTTTTGAAGTTCATTAAGACTGTTTGGAGAAGTTAGTGTATTTTATGTCCCATCAGTTTGTTTAATGAAAAATAAAAGGTGCTGTGACCTGTGTTTTTCAATCGCTGGCCCTCTCTCAAATCCCTGTTACAAGTAGTGGACGCATCCTATCTAATAAAGAGGGAATATGCAAATTGACTGTAACTCCGCCAAAAAGATGGCGGCGCCCACAGCGGAGGCAGGGGTTTCTGTAACACAAATGGCTGCATGCACAGTGGAGGCCGAGTTCCCATAACGAGCCTTAATGAGCAATCAGCAGAGACCTGAGGCTGCGTCCCCCCTCCTCCCATGGGGCTTGACAGGGGACCTCAAGGCGTGCCCCCCTGCCCCAGTGCTGGGCCAGGGGAACTCAGGCTGCTCCCCGGGCCGGGGGACCTCAGGCCACGCCCACTGCCCAGCAGGGCTTGGCGGGGGACCTGAGGCTGCGCCCCCCGTCCCAGTGGGGTTTGACGAGGGACCTCAGGCTGTGTCCCCCACCTGGCAGGCTTGACAGGGGACCTCAAGGTGCGTGCCCCGGACCAGGCTGGGGTACCTCAAGCCGCCCCCCTCCCCTAGTGCTGGGCCAGGGGACCTGAGGCTGTGCCCCCCCGCCCGGCGGGGCTTGGCAAGGGTGGGATCAGCCAGGTCTGGATCTAGCCCAATGTGGGGGTGCCGGCCGGGTCTCAGTCTCACGCTATTTTGAGGCGCACGTGGGTGGGCGGGGACTTAACTCCGGGTCCCATGGTGTGCCCCAGACTCTGACAGGAGGAAGATTTTCATATACATTTTACTAATTTTCTTTCATCTCTGACACTTCTATTATAGAGAAAGGGCAAATAGCAATATTAAAATATTTCCTCTAATTAATCCCCTTTTAATGCCCAAGGCCACTAGTTTGATATATTTGGAGAACAGTTGTTTTCCTGCTGCCGAAGACAGTTTGATTTCTCTGCAGCCTGGAACCTGTAGAACATTTGGATTACTTGAAATGTTCTGTGAGGTCTCAGAGGCTTTCCCAGGAGTTAAAAAAGGTCAACAAAGAAGGTGCAGGTAGCATTTCTTGCAAAGCTTAGATTAGCGAACAGACACAAAAAAGATGAGGAGCCAGAGAGGGGAAAACTTCATCCAGGCATTTTTGGGGGGCTGCTGGTCTGGAACAATCCCTCATCTGTCAAATATTGATTTATATATCCTGCTCTGGCTGGAGTGATTCATTGTTTAGAGCGTCAACCTGCACATCACACATCAATGTTTCTCTCTTTCTCCCCCCTTCCTCCCTCCCTTCCATTCTCTCTGAAAATCAATGGAAAGAATATCCTTGGAGCAGGATTAACAATTATGTATCGCGATTGGAGGGATGGTCATTGTAAAGTTATGCACTACCTGACATGTCATCCAGTCTTCTAAGGATTTGAACTCGGAAATGTCCTACACACTTGAATCATATGTTTGATATATAGGGTAGCAATTCATCGGCCAGTGAAGGGTTCATTCTTTTAACAGTCAGCAAATTCTGAGCACCTTCTTGTTTGCACCAGGCCTGCCGGTCCTGCTCATGGTCGACCTTTCAGAGCATCCCTGGCAGTGGCGGTGGCAGGTGCTGTTCGTCACTCTCGGTTCATCCATACCCTGTGCTTCTTGGTGAAGTCAGATTACCACGTGGTGCTTGGCTCCACTAACAGCCGTGGGACATACTCACCAGCCATCATGGCTCAGTGGTTGCACGTCAACCTATGAACCAGGAGGTCACGGTTCGATTTCTGATCAGGCCACATGCCTGGGTGGCAGGCTCGATCGCCACTGTGGGGCATGCAGGAGGCAGATGATCAATGATTCTCTCTCGTCATTGATGTTTCTATGATGTTCCCTCTCCCTCTCTGAAATCGGTAAAAAAAAGATTTAAAAAAACCCAAACACAACAACAAACAGATGCTGGCAGAAAGGGGGAGATGGCTGGACCACTGGCTGCCTCCTCCTCAATTTTGTGGTTTTTTAAAAAATATATTTTATTGATTTTTTACAGAGAGGAAGGAAGAGGGATAGAGAGTTAGAAACATCGATGAGAGAAACATCAATCAGCTGCCTCTTGCACATCCCCCTTGCACACCCCCTACTGGGGATGTGCCTGCAACCAAGGTACATGCCCTTGACCGGAATCGAACCTGGGACCCTTGAGTCCTCAGGCCGACGCTCTATCCACTGAGCCAAGCCAGTCAGGGCTCCTCCTCAGTTTTTATGTCTTGCTTGAGTGCCTCAGCATCAAGGGGTCCTTGCTTTCAGTGGCAGGGCCGGATGATCATACTTGGGTGGTGATGCAGTCAGCGCAGTTACTAGACATGGCCCTGAGCTGCCTGGACAGAGCTGGCTGGACCTGCCCTCCCACCTGCGCCCTGCTCCCCACAGAGCTGAGGCTCCCCCTCCTGGGCCCCACCATCCCAGGTGCAGGCGCCGGCACTCCACACCCACACTGCTTTAGAGCCGCACAGCCCGCTCTCTCCCCATTGACAGGTCTGCTTCCCGCCGTTGCTCCAAAAAAAAGGGTGAGTCCCCCAGGGGCAGGTGCCCCTCCAATGGGGCCTGGACCCGCCTGTGCCTTCACAGAAAGCCTGGCCCAGCACACTTCCCCAGGGAGAGGGAGGATGGAGGACCTGGGATTTCGCTGGACTCGGCCTGTTCCACGCAGGGGGACCCAGATCCTCAGGAAGGCCAGTGCATCGTCCCCTTGCGTGACAGCTGGAGCGTGGCCTGAGCCAGCGTTTCACCCACAAAGGTAGGGCCTCTGGGAGGTGGTCAGGCCGTGAGGGCGGCGTTGGAATGGATCATTGTTCTCTGAAAGAGACCCCAGAGAGCCCCAGCCCTCCCCCCATGAGGGGACAGCAGGAAGGCACATCTGTGAACCAGGAGTGGGCCCTCGCCAGACACCAAATCTGCCAGCACCTTGATCTTGGACTTCCAGCCTCCAGAGCCGTGAGAGGTACATTTCTGGGGTTTTTACATGCTACCCAGTCGGTGGTATTCTGTGTGTGTGTGTGTGTGTGTGTGTGTGTGTTAAATGCTGTACAAGTTCACCACTTGTGGTTTGTGTATCATCACCGTCAGTATACTAAGTATGTTGTTTTTTTAAGATTGGCTTTTTAAAAACTATATGTTTTCATTGATTTCAGAGAGGAAGGGAGAGGGGGAGAGAGAGAGAGAAACATCAATGATGAGAGGAAATAATAGACCGGCTGCCCTCTGCACGCCCCCTCCTGGGGATGGAGAAGATTGGCTGTTTTTCACTGTGCATCACACCCTTGAGAGCTACCCGCGTGGTTTGTTCCCTTTTGTTGCTGAGTCTGTTGTGTGGGTGTACACAGTTCCTTCAGCCCGTCCCCCACTGAAGGACTTTCCGAGTTGTTTCCAGTTTGGGCCTCTGAAGATAAAAGGTGCTGTGAACACTGGTGTGCTCATAGCTGTGCGTGCACACGTTTGCATTTCTGTCGGATGACGCCCAGGAGTGCGATGGCCAGACTGTAAGGTGGGTGCGTAGACTCACCTGGGGAACGGCTGTGGGACTGCCTGTGAGCCGGCGCCACATCGTTTCACGTGTGGCTGTTAGCCGGGGAACCAGTGTTCTAGGTGCAGAGGCGATAAGAACCACGTGTGCTGTATCCTAAGAGCAAAACCTAAAATCTGAGACCGTGGTTTTGGGAAATGAGAAGGGTTTGCCCAGCCCAGGTGCCTTGTGGAAAGGAAAGACTCCGCCCTTTTACTTGAGCCTGTGGGAAGGTGTGTCCCCTAACATATTCCCTTGACTGCCAAAGCTTTGAAACATTAAAAAACACCGGAACTTATTATATCCAGTTGGAATTATCACGTGAAATTTCTATGTCTTCACAGACTTTCAGAAACCCGGACTTCCATGTGGATCCCCCCATACATCCTCGTCTTTCCTACACAGCTCTCCAGGACCTCCCTGTGCCGGCCTGTGAGAGACTCCTGATGGTGAAAATAAAAGAACCGCGGACCCAGCTGGTGTGGCTCAGGGGTTGGACACTGACCCATGTACCAGGAGGTTGCCAGTTTGATTCCCAGTCAGGCACATCCTGGGTTTCAGGCTCAATCCCCAGTGGGGAAGTGAGCAGGAGGTGGCCATTCCGTGATGTTTCTCTCTCATTGATGTTTCTCTCTCAGCGGTGTTTCTATCTCTCTCTTCCTCTCCCTGTCTCTCTCTAAAATCAATACAAACATTTTTTAAAAAGAACAGTGGGAATTTCCCCAAAATACCATAGTGGGAAAAATTACCCAGGCCTCGTGTCTTAGAATCACGGTGTCCCTAGCAAAGATCTTGTTTGGTACTTGGTCATCTTTCTGGTCGGTTGGACAGTGATTTTTCCAGTTCCTTAGAATGTGAGAGCTGAACTGTGAGTGGCTAGATTTTCAGCTCTTAGACACATCTTAAAAGCAGCAGTAAAAATATGTAACTGAGACAAATCATACTTCAATGAACAGCACGCCAGTTAGATTCAGAAGAACAGTAGCTCTGGCAGGGCCTGTACCTGCATTAGCTCCCAGATGGCATCACTCATTGTGGGATGAGGGGGTTCCCAACACCCCGGGTGCAATTGGACCATCACAAAGCTTGGTCTTCATGAATCAGCCATGTCCTGTGTGTGGAGTCGAGTCTCTTTTCTTGTGTTGAAAACAGTGTGAGAACTTTTAGAGAAATTGTGGACTTTGCCCTTTTTTTTTTTTTTTAACTAGAGGCCTATACTTTTTCCTTTTTCACTTAAAAGGCAACAACAAAAACAGTAAATGACTTTACGGGCTCCCAACTGACTGTGTCATCTGTGGCTCCACAGGGAGCTCTGGCTATAATTACCCCCCACCCCCCACCTGCCTTCAAGTGGGGTCAGAGCCGGGATGATTTAACCCATTATTCACCAGCCACAGTCAGACTTCTGACTCTGCGGGGCTTGAGCACCTCGAGGCCGCAGGGCAAATGGCTGGGAGAACGTCCACTCGGGCTCCGGTGACTCAGCTGAGTGAGGCGCCCCTTTCTTCAGCTCAGGACCAACTCCAGCTCCATAGCCTTCGGCTGTGA